CAAGGGTTTTTGCTGGTTGAGATAAGGATAGCTATACAGGGCATTGACTCACATTGATTTCCTGTGCGTGGGTGTTACCTTCTAGGTTAATTCTTTTTGATCTAACCTTTTCTCTAGTACCTGTTCCCCTTTTCCTATTGGCCTCAGTTGCTTTAAGGTATCTGCTTTAGTTTCTCTGCGTTAAGGGCAACAAATGCTAGCTAGTTTTTTAGGTGTCTTACCTATCCTCACCCCTCCCTTGTGTGCTCTCGTTTTTATCAGATAGAGTCTCGCAAACTATTTGCCCGACTGACTTTGAACCATAATCCTCCTGATCTCTGCCTCCGAGTAGCTAGGATTATAGGTGTTATCCACCCGCACCTGGCTTTTCTATTCAAATTCTAATACGTGAAACTGGTTGTCTGGGATAAAATATTGAGTTTATTTTAAACAGAGCAGATACTCTTATGTCCTTAAGAAAGCTGACACAATTACTGTTTTCAGAGTTTCTGAAACATAGGGACTAACAATTCTTCTAAAGTTCAGCTCTTGCCTAATGCTGTACTGGGCAACATACGTAATAAATACCTCAGCCGTGTATTGTTTTAAAACATACTCCTCATTGTTACCTTTAACAATAGAAAAGTTTCTACATCAATGCAAGTAGGCAAATGTGAGTGCTAGAAAACTTAGGAATAATTGAACAAATGTCAGACAACTTAGGGTATGTTATGCCCTGTGAATTGCAGATTAGACATTCAATACAGAGAACAATATGAGACTTTTTTCTTTTTAAAAAGCTTTCTATGAAGGAAGAATTTAAATATATACAATTGTAGACAGAATAGAAAAATGAACCCCCACTTACTTATCACTCAGATTCAAGAATTATTGACTCATGGCCAGTCTTGTGTCATCTGTATTCTCTACTCTGTCCCCCCCCCCCCCCCATAATATTTTGAAATAATCTTAGGTATGGTATCATTTTATCCATAAAAATTTCAGTGTATATCTCTAGAAGTTAAAAAACCTTCAAAGTTATTAAAAACAATTCCTTAATATGATGAAATATCCAGTTAGTGTTTAAAACTTCAACTATCTCTTATAAATGTTGAACACTTTCAATGATTTGTGTCTTATAATGAGAATCAAAATAAGGCCCACATAATGTGATTGGGAAATAATTCTTTTAGGTCTCTTTTAATTTATAGGCTTCCCCTCCATCTCTCTCTCTCTCTCTCTCTCTTTTCATCCCTTCAAATTTTTTATTAAAGAAACTGAATCTGCCCTACCATGTTTCACATAGTCTAGATTTTGCTAATTACATCTTTATAGTGTGGCTTAACTGGTTCTTCTATCTCTAAATTTCCTGTAAATTAATAGTTTGATAAGAAATTCCTAATTTGTCATTAAGCTAAAGAAATAAGATAATTCCGATGTTGCTTATGTATGCTAACTAGAACTGTAAACCCAAATCCTCAAGAAGCAGAAAAGGAAAAGATTATTTTAGGCTGTTTTCACAATCCCTGCTCTATTTCTGAACCCTACTGCCTATACCTACAGAACCTGGCTCATGTCCTTCAGCTCTGTGGATATTACCCTCACACTACTCCAGGGCCCAACAATCCCAGGCTCCTTTCCAACCATGGGTATGTCTACTGCCCACGAACTCTTACAGCCTCATCCCACCGATAAGACCATTTGCACTGATTCTATTAATAACAACTAGCATTTGTTGAAAGCTTGCAGGATGCCAACATTTGCTACTACTTTATGCACACTGCTTTAATCCTCACAGCAGCACTGTAAAGTAAAGGATGGCCTCCCTTGGGTTCCTCAAGCTTGCCAAAGTACTGCTCCCCTCATGCACCTAGTCTTTCCTCTGCTGAGGAAGCTACTCCTCCTTCTCCTGTCTAACCTCTGCTCATTAAGCTGATCTCAGTTCTGCTATCCTGTCTCAGACAAGCCTTCCCTGACCTCCAAAGTAAGTAACAGAGCATGGTCTCAAAACACCGTGTTCTTCTCTTACACTCTTTATCACAGTCTTAACTTTTTAAATTATTTAATTAATGACCAACTCCCATTCAGCCTGTAAGTTCCATATAGTCAAAAACCAAGTGTGTTTTTACTCATCTTAGCATCTTAGGCCTACACAGTGCCAAGTGCCTGGCACACTCAGTACATATGCACTGAATGAATGAGAGGACTGTGCCCCAGGCTCACTAGGAAGTAGTGGAATTAGAATTCAAGCCAAATTGACCTGAGTGTAGCCCAAATGTCACCCAAATTCTCTCCAGCCTTGTGGACATTGTTATCTGGACTATTAGCTCTCTCCCTTGGAGAACCAGCTTAGTCTCCTTGTGTGGCCCAGTTATCTCATACTTCCACTGACTTGTCATTGGGATCTCAACGTTTGCCTCTCTCAACCAAGGCTTCACAAGTGTACTTGACTTTCTTCTGTTTTATTTAAAGTCAGAAATCTTATAATTTGGAAGGGACATGGCAAAATGTGAACAAACAAGGCAATGAGACACTGATGATGAACAGGTGTGCTCTCTGAGGTGTATAGTAATTGTTCAGTTTTTTTTTTTTTTTTTTTTTTTTTTTTAGTTACTATTAAAGAAATTGCACTTAGCAATTTTCTTTTTCACCCTCAATGTGAATGGATACTCAACTCAGTGACGGGTTCTGAAGCTTTAAAAAAGATACAGTCAAATGTAAGTCTTGAGAAGAAAAATATGATAGGTATTCCTTTTCTTTTTTTTTTTTTTAGAACTGAAGTCTCCATGTCTCTCATCAGCTCCAAAACACCTACCTCCCACAGCTGAGTTATTTGTTGGCCCTTCCATATTCTACAGTAATCATTCTTTGTATCTCGGAGAAACTCCTAGCTATGCACCCACGCTTCTCACATCGTTTCTTTTCCACACCCTCTGTCAGATTGTCACTGGTTTCCAAAGTTCCACTTATACCACTTGTAATGTTGTTTTCTTCCCTCAGTCCCTTAGCTTGCCCACCATAATTGCCCAATGCTGTCCTCCCTCCCAGTATCCAGTTTTTAAGTTGGCCTTGACCCAAAACTTTGAAGCTAACTGCTTGAGCTAGAGCAGGCATCTCTAAGGAGCAGGTACTTGTCCTATGAACCTGAGGGATAAAGGGAACAGAAGTTTGTAGACACCTCATGGCTGCCTGCTGTTGTCCTTTCTATTGAAAATGTTGGCATTGGTGAAAGTCACGTGCCGACCAGGGCTGTATTTGTTTTTGTTTTTGTCACTGTTGTTTTCTCAGTGCTAGGGATCCAGCCCAGGGGCTTGCACGTGCTAGACAGTTGCTCTACCACTGAGCTATATCTCTAGTCCTAGATTTGATTTAAAGAATACTTTGTGTTTATTTTTTTAATCTTGAGACAGCCTGAAAAAAATATCTTTCCACCTCCCAGTGCTTTGCTTTTCTACTTCCCTGTTACCTCTTCCTCCAAAGATGAAAATAAAAGATCTTAACTTCTGAGTTTATTTAGGAGAAAAGAGCAATACAACCCTCTGTTGCTTCCTATCTTTAGGACTTCTGAAAGAGAGTGGCTAGCTAATGATTTGTCAGATAGCCAGGTCTGTTTCTGGTTTGCATGAGCAGTGGTGATTCCAAACCCTCGGAGGAATAAAATGGAAAATGTCTTAGAAATTTCAGATTTATGTGAAGCCAAACTGTGTGATCTCCTGCCAGTCTTAGTTTACAAAATTCACATGGTCCTGGATATGTTTACTTGAACTTTAAGTTTTAATGTCACCATTATATTCCAATAACTTCACTCCCTCAACCCAGCCCACTGGCTACGGTCTGGTTTTAGTGTGTATAAAAATGATTACTAGAACAGAAGAACTTGGCTGATTGGTTTTCTCTCCTTAAGCAGTGTTTCTTTCAATGCCAATTTAAGCCAAAACCAGTGAAATAATTAACTACTTTGCATGAGAAGGTGCTTTTTCTTTTTGTTTATAAAAATTTCTTCTTAAAGTTAGTTGCAAAAGAAGGCAAGGAAAAAACACCATCACTGATATCTCATATTTTCTCAGTGATGTGGCAATTACATGTTGTAATTTATAGAATGCAAAATGACTGGAGACTCAAGTGAGAAATATGAACCAGAAGAGCATTGAACAAAGTTGTGTTTCAGAATGGGACCTTGTTTACATTTTCTGCTTATATTCTTTCTAGGAGCCTCATTGCCAAGGTTTTGTCCCACATCAAGCATAAAACAGTTACAAACTATTCACAGATTGGCTGGATATCAAATGTCAGTGTTCACTGATTGCTCTTTTTTTTTTTTTTTTCAAAATGTTCTTTATTTTCTATGTTCACTGTAGAAACTGGCCACACAGCAAAGTCAAAGAGCTCTTTTGACCCATAAAAATAAGTTAGTGATTGCCAAAACAGAAAGATGCTGCCTGTCAGTGAAACCAGAAGCGAACACCATTTCACCACAACCATGTGTTCTGGAATGTACTGAGTTTACGCTTCTGGATACTTCTCAATAGGTCATTCATTCATTCAGCAAATATTTTTCAAATACCTTGCTTGTTCACCATGTTAAGTCTCCAACAGTGAGCTGGAAAAAATATATAATCCCACTTTTAGCCATAAGGAATCTAAAATTTAAATGAGAGTAATGATAATATACTTACAAACAGTTGAATAATAATATTTGCTGGTATGTGGTTAAGGGCCAAGTGAGTGTCAGTAGAGAAATCTAGGCATGGCTATGGTGTCACTGCAGTGGAACAGAGCTCCAGAAGATGATCCCTGTTGGGAGTAGTAAGAGATAAAGAAAATTTGGAGACAGACTGGAGATGCTTATCAGCTAAAGGCCTTATCCTAGAGATAAGAGGCAAAGGTTGGGTTAGGGTTGAAGCAGTGATGAAAGGAAGGAACTGAATCAAAAGCTATTATAAAAGGAGGAAGGCTAAGAGATGAGAGAGAGGCAAGAAACAATAATGATTCTGAGGTTAAGTACCTTTGTTATTAGAAAAATGACGATACTGTTGACAGATTTAAAAATCCAGCTGGTGTTGGAAGTTAATGAACTAGACTCCATGACTGTGAGCAGAGCCTGAGGCAGATGGTGAGAAGGATGTGATTCGTGGTGATCATCGAGTTAGTCACCTTCACAGTTCTTCAGTGAAATACCTGCAGCAATAACTTAAGAGAAAATGTTTACTTAGCTCATAGGTTGGAGGTTCCAGTCCAAGATTGGGTGACCCCATTGGACTGGTCATCATATTGCTACAGTAGTGTATGTCAGCTTGATTGTTCATGTGTCAAGACAGGAAGCTGACACAGTGAGCAGAGAGACCACAGGGTGCCACAGTCCTTTGAGGGCATGTCCCCAGTTAACTATGGATGTCACACATGCCCCCATCTTCAATAAGTTTCATTACCTCACAATAGCCCCATCCTGTGGATCAAGCCTTCAATGCATGATCCTTTGTGGGACACTCATTCAAACAACAGCAAGCATCATTGCTCAAATGGGCACTCTGTGAGAGTAAATGGATTGTATGACAGAATAAAGGGGAAAGGACAGAGGACTGAAGTCTAATGAAGTTCCATAGAGGTGAAATCACTGGAACATAGTTATGGCTTTACCGTTGTGACAGCTACATCTTAGTGATTTTCTGTGATTTTGAGCTGAGAGGAGGAGTTAATGAGGAAATGCAGGAACACTAAGAAGTGGGAAGAGAACCAACAGAGTGTCATACAATCCAAGGTTGACAAGTTTTGAGTTTGAAGGATGAAGTTTTGCAGAGAGGTAATAAGAACACTGAGGTACAATGACAATTCTTCTGGCAATTTTTGGTCTAGACAGTCAGATGTCAGATTGTTTTAAGCATTGGGTGTACTTATTCATTTTGTTTGGAGCTTTATTTTAACATTGCACTGTTTTCCTTTTTTGTTTATTTTAGGAGATATTTTCTTGCCTTCTACATACAGTGTAGAAGCTATTTTATATCCCTTTTGTATGTCTCACACCAAGTACTCTGCTAATCTGAATTCAGTTGTGTGCTTTAATGATTGTAGATTGTTATGATAATAGCAGATTATTGTGAGAATAGTTTCTGGAATATAGTAAATATGCAACAAAAATTATGTAAAATTTCAAACCTTCCAGCTTCCATATATTTTTTTAAATCTATAAATGCCTGAATTTTTCTTTAGAATAAGAAAATTTACCGTTTTAGTTTTCTCCCATGAACACTCAGTTCAACATCAAGACAGATGATGTTAAGACAGGTTTGAAGCCATGTGTGGTGGCCCACTCCTGTCATCCTAGCTACTGTGGAGGAGACAGGAAGATCACAGTTTGAGACCAGCCTGGGGGCAAAGTTAGCTTAAGACTCAATCTGAAAAACAAACTAAAAGAAAAAGAACAGGAAGGTGGCTCAAGTGGTAGAGCAGTTGTCTAGCAAGCATGAGACCCTGAGTTCAAACCCCAGTACCATTAAAAAAAAAGGAGGGGGGGGGTTGAGGGCCACAGTTTTATGAAAGACTGGTTCTTAACTCAAAGGTTCCTGCAATTACTAGATTAAGTATCTGCCATAAACCCAGAACTTCAAAGGTGGAAAAGAAATATTGGATTCTCTCCATTCCTCCCAGTGATTAATGCAATTCTCTGCTTCTTTTATCCGTGTCTACCCCCAAAAGGAACACCAGAGCAGAGGCCTTATGAGTTGTCCCATTTTGCTGTTTAAATGATGTCTTCATCTATTCTGGAAGAGACAACTCTAATTTCAGCCAAGTCAATTGGAAGCAAGATAAATGGCCTCTAGCACTCCTCCCTTGATAATATTTGGGTGTCTTTTATACTTCTCCATGAAAAGAAAATTTACTGCATGGCAAAACAGGCCAGCAAAAATTTTCAGCAACTTAATTTAGAAGGGACTTATTCTCCTGAATAGACCCATTCTTTGTTTGAATACAAAGCAATCTTTTCATGCATTTCCCAAATAATCAACCCACTTGCTTCTACCTGAATTTCCACTAATGTCATTTAATAAAACAAAATGTACTTTTTCCTAATAGAGGTTTCAGACTCTCCAATATAACTTCTCTATTACAGTTCATGCTCTGAGTTCCTTTTATCTAAGTAGTAAATCTGCAATTTGTGAAACTTGTTCCCAAACTTTAAAGTAAGTTCTCTGTTCTTTTTGGCATAGAATTTAGGTTTTATTTGCCTCCAAATAAGTTTTTCCAATGGAGAGACTGGGGTCTAGGAATATTTATTATATTATAAATAAAGCAAAAATGGAAAGTTCTGTCTAGAAGTTAGAATATGGTATAAATCTACCATTCATTTCATCATCCATTTTATGACTTTTTAACTAAGACCTTAAGTTAAGTGAAAGGATAAATTTACTCTCTATGTGTGGTAATGATGATATATTTGTAGAGCTATTTATATGGTATTGATGTTTTTGGTAGATCTCTTTATAGTGATAAGTGAAACTTTTAAAGAAGTTGATGTCAAGATCAAACAAAAGGTTGATCAATGTCTAAGTGGTTTTCAAGTTATAATATTTAAGAAGCAATGAAAACAGTACAGTGGGCAAAAATCTTTTTTGGGAAAGCACTTTAAAAAATATATACCAAGTGTGAAGGAAATTACTTATTTCAGAGATTCAAGCACCATTATCATCTTTAATAAGAAGGTTACACAAAAGGTTTACTCTGGCAACTACCTTTTGCTGATAAGATCCAAGGAAGAAACTGTTTTGACTAGCTCATGCTTGGAGTAGTCTAGATATAGACTTAGAATTGCAATGGAATTGTGGTGGCTCTCAAAGAAATCAAAGGGATACTCTAAAAATCTGTTTGAAATTTGTGATGATAACATCAGGTATTGGCCAACCCAAGAAATCCATTAAACCTAGCTGCATCATGGTTGTCATGCCAACACTAATTATAAGATTTCTGATGGTGAATCTCACAGGTTCATGCCTTCCTAGCCTGATTTATGTAGACTGACTGTTCTTTAATGTTATGTTTTTGGACTCTGAGTGAAACTTTCAGTTGCAGAGTCTTTGAACATTATCAAAACTTTTCAAAAAAGACATTCAGAAGTTACTTTAATGCTGATTACTGTTGTCTCTCACCTTAAGGAGACATGCAAGAGATTGAAATAAAATGTTCCATAATGAGCACAGGCCACCTTAAGTAGAAGTCCAAGAAGGATAGTTGATCTATGGTCAGAGAACTATACAAATAGGCATAATTGTAGTCAGCCACAAAGAACTGAGAGCAAGGCACATGATAAATGCTTGTTTTTAAATAAATGCATTAATTTCACTACAAACCACATACAGGAATTTTAAAAATTCATTTATTCATATGTGCATACATTGTTTGGGCTATTTCTCCCCCTTACTCCCCCTCCCCATCTGCTCCCTCTTCTCCCCCACTCCTCTCGCTTCCAGGCCACATACAGAAAATTTGAAAAAAAGAAAAAAGGATAAAACCAGTTACCATCCATTGGATTCAATTATTTATTTATTTATTTATTTTGCAGTACTGGGGTTTGAACTCAGGGCCTACACCTTGAATCACTCCACCAGCTCTTTTTTGTGATGGGTTTTTTCGAGATAGGAGCTCACTAAACTATTTGGCTTCAAACCATGATCCTCCTGATCTCTGCCTACTGAGTAGCTAGGATTATAGGCGTGAGCCACCAGCAAATCATTGCTTTAATCCTGGTATTTCACCCTTTTTCTTACCAATAATAATTTATTTTGAAAACTAAAAAAACATATTTCTTACTGAAATCATCAGATTTTTCAACTGTAATATTTTAATACATAAACCATAGATAGGTAGATTTAATTTATAATGTGATAAGACTCACAGGTATGTCTATGGGGTTGCAAATGGTAGCCTATTATATGGCATTTGAAGTTTTTGTTTCAAAGTTTTCCTGTTCTATCCACTCAGTTTTTCACTATCATTATATGTACTATGAATAAAATGTTTAGAGTAAGTTTGGCACATGGTGTGCATTACAATGGTGTTTGTTGTGTTACTGTCACTTGTTATTACTGTACTTGGTAATATAAATAATCCAAATATAGTTAATTATAAAGACATCCATCACCAAGTCCTTTCACTGTGCCAACTAAAATATGTTAAATGATAAATATTATCTAGTAGAGTATAGAGGAAAAGCAGCTGGTAGAAGTCATTTAAACACCTAGGTTCATAAAAATGTCTATACTCCCAAGAGTAATCTACATGTTTAATGCAATTCCCATTAAAATCCCAATGACATTCATCAAAGAGATTGAAAATCTACCATTAAATTTATATGGAAACACAAGAGGCCACAAATAGCCAAGGCAATACTCAGTCAAAAGAACAACGCTGTAGGTATCACAATACCTGACTTCAAACTATATTACAAAACAGTAACAATAAAACAACATGGTACTGGCACAAAAGCAGACATGAAGACCAGTGGAACAGAATAGAGGACCCGGATATGAAGCCACACAACTATAATCAACTTATCTTTGACAAGGGCGCTAAAAATATACGATGGAGAAAAGACAGCCTCTTCAAAAAATCTTCTGGGAAAACTGGTTAGCAGTCTGCAAAAAACTGAAACTAGATCTGTGTTTATCACCCTATACCAATATTAACTCAAAATGGATCAAGGATCTTAATATCAGACCACAAACTCTAAAGTTGGTACAGGAAAGAATAGGAAATACTCTGGAATTAATAGGTATAGGCAAGAACTTTCTCAATGGAACCCCAGCAGCTCAGCAACTAAGAGATAGGATACTTCTGCTCAACAAAAGAAATGGTCTCTAAACTGAAGAGAACACCCACAGAGTGGGAGAAAATATTTGCCAGCTACACATCAGACAAAGGACTGATAACCAGAATATATAGGGAACTCAAAAAACTAAATTCTCCCAAAATTAATGAACCAATAAGGAAATGGGCAAGTGAACTAAACAGAACTTTCTCAAAAGAAGAAATTCAGATGGCCAAAAAACACATGAGAAAATACTCACCATCTCTAGCAATAAAGGAAATGCAAATTAAGACCACACTAAGATTCCACCTCACCCCTGTTAGAATAGCCATCATTAGCAACCCCACCAACAACAGGTGTTGGCGAGGATGTGGGGAAAAAGGAACCCTCTTACACTGTTGGTGGGAATGTAAACCAGTACAACCACTCTGGAAAAAAATTTGGAGGCTTCTTAAAAATCTAAACATTGATCTACCATATGATCCAGCAATACCACTCTTGGGGATATACCCAAAAGAATGTGACTCAGGTTACTCCAGAGGCACCTGCACACCCATGTTTATTGCAGCACTATTCACAATAGCCAAGTTATGGAAACAGCCAAGATGCCCCACTACTGACTACTGGATTAAGAAAATGTGGTATTTATACATAATGGAATTTTATGCAGCTGTGAGGAAGAATGACATGTTATCATTCGCAGGTAAATGGATGGAATTGGAGAACATCATTCTGAATGAGGTTAGCCTGTCCCAAAAGACCAAAAAATCATACATTCTCCCTCATATGTGGACATTAGATCTAGGGCAAACACAACAAGGGGATTGGACTTTGATCACATGATAAAGCGAGAACACACAAGGAAGGTATGAAGATAGGTAAGACACCCAAAAAAAACTAGATAGTGTTTGTTGCCCTTAACGCAGAGAAACTAAAGCAGATACTTTAAAGCAACTGAGGCCAATAGGGGAAGGGGACCAGGAACTAGAGAAAAGGTTAGATCAAGAAGAATTAACCTAGAAGGTAACACCCACGCACAGGAAATTAATGTGAGTCAACTCCCTGTATCCTTATCTCAACTAGCAAAAACCCTTGTTCCTTCCTATTATTGCTTATACTCTCTCTTCAACAAAATTAGAGATAAGGGCAAAATAGTTTCTGCCTGGTAGTGAAGGGTTAGGGTAAGTAAGGATGGGGGGGAAGGAGGGGGCAGGGGTAAGGGGGTAGAAATGACCCAAACATTGTATGCACATATGAATAAAAAAAAACAAAGAACACCTAGATTCAGTAGTGGATTGGCTCAAGTGGTAGAGCACCTGCCTAGCAAGTGTGAGGCCCCGAGTTCAAACCCCAGTGCCAAAAAACAAAAACAAGCAAACAAAAAAACTCACCTAGATTTGTGAAAGATAATCCACTTTTTTTCTGATGGGAATAGAATTTGAACTCAGGGCTTTGTGCTTGCAAAGCAGGCACTCTTGCAGCTTGAACCATTTTGCTCTGATTATTTTGGAGATGGGATCTCACAAGCTATTTACCCAGGCTGGCCTCATGCCATGATCCTCCTCATCTCAGCCTCCCATGTAGCTAGGGTACAGAGAGGTGTGAGCCACTGATGCCCACTGGTAGTCCACTTTTTGTTTTGTTTGTTTGTTTGCTTTTTAACAAGCAAAACATTTATTGAAAGTAGAATACACTCTCACAGAGGGGAGCAGATCTGAGTGAAAATGCTCAAGGCCCAGATTCTGTGTCAGAGTTGTAATTAAAAGTCAAAGCTGGGGCTGGGGGGAGGAGGAACTGAAAGGGGTGTCCCTTATGATTGACAGCTTTGATTGACATGAAGGTATTATATAACTTACTTTTGGCTTCTGCATGTCCCTACACATAATGCATTCTGTTTTAATTACATGCATGAGATGCAGTCCATATGTTTGAAGCTTTAAGTAGGGGGTGTCCTTAAAGGTCATCTCAGGGTGGGCTCCCATGTCCTCAGTGCACATGGTAGGTCTGGGGCACTCAACTCTGCACAAACACCCTCTTCATCATTACTTAGCAACTGTTGAGTTAGACACGAAAAGGGGCTCCAAGGACATTCCCAACATCTAGGTGTGTGTCCTAGAGGGGACTTGTGACATGTCTTAGGTGGGACTTTTATGTTATCTGGTCAGTCTTCACACCTTCTCCACTTTTAATAGTCATTGGTTTTCTTGCAGGGACAGAAATACTATTCATTTTCTTTTTCAAAGGAATTGATTCCTTTGAATGAACCTCTGCCTTCCCTTAGGTAGGATGGGAATCGGGTGTCTTAGGACCCTTTATCCTCAGGAGCCTCCTAGTGGATGAATTTAATAAACTAATTCATGAAACTGTCACTCACCTAGGGGTTTTCTGCAACCTCTGGAATTGTTGCCACAACTCACAAAAAGGGATGTCTTGGGAATTTGGTGAATGAAGGGCTGCTTTTGGTTTAGTGAAACCAGGAAGTGTACTTGTAGTAACTGAGATTACTTTATTATCCTCCTACGAAGCCCTTAGTGTCGAGTGCATTTGATACTGTGATTTCAAGCAGAAGGTTCTTTGAATACCTATCATGCATCTCAATGTCTTCCATATTGGAAAATAAATTTAACACTGTAAGAAAGACACTATTCTTTTTAAACCTCATTCAGCCAATGTTTGCTTACTTAATTTCTTTAATTAACCCATCTGAATTCTCAATATCTCTGTGGGTAACTGCCCAACTCTCACGTTACCATTTATCGATTGTCCTTTATTCCTAAGGAAGAACATATTTTTTTTTTGAGCACAAACCCTTTTAATCAAAAGCTCTACAGTGAGATTATGCATCACTGCTTTTAGTAGTCAAGGTCACTTGAGTTAGCAAGAAATTTTTTCTCAACTAGAGAGTTAATGGGAAAATGAAAATGTTTATGTTGTAAAGTTTTATGACTTGTTGTCATATTGTGGTGGTGGTTTTATGCATCTTAAGGCTTTTCTCTCCATAATTAAATTGAGACAAATATAAGCCTTTCAAAGGGAATGAGACTGAAAAATAAATATTAACAGCCAGATCATTAAATTTTGGCCTTTAAATGTCTTTTGCCAGTAGGTTGCTGTTTTTATTATCCTTTATTTATTAAAGCTCTACAAATTCTGATCAAAAGACTTTTCAGATTTGAAAAGAATTAAAAAATGACCCAAGAAGCTGAGATGTGTTTTCTAAGGGCTAACCAGTAATTGTTTTGACATCACTAATTTCCCTAAGAGCATTTTTTTCTCTACCCTTTCAATAACTAGCAAGTAAATAGTATCATTTAAGTTAAAAGACCACCTTTTGTGGATGTTTTGGATAAATGTTTTCAATAAGAATCCCTTCTTTCCAAACAGAATCTAATCCTAGAGCTATAAAACACAGAGAGTGAGCCATCCCTACACAATATCCTAGGTGTCAGAGCTACAGAGTTCCTGGAGGGAAAATTATCACTCTCCCATCAGATGGATGATGCCTTGGCAAGTGCCTTCTCACTGGCTGTGGTTTCCATGGTACTGATTGTCAATGCCTTTTGTTGCAGGCAGAATACTTCTATGAATTCCTGTCCTTGCGCTCCCTGGATAAAGGCATCATGGCAGATCCAACTGTCAATGTCCCTCTGCTGGGAACAGTACCTCACAAAGCTTCAGGTGGGTGGTCTTTGTCTTAGAAAAAGGTTTACACTTAAAAATGTAATGGCGAAGAGATAATTTTTAGATCCAATTGTTATATATCAGAGGGATTTTGCAGTGTTTTTCTGGAGAGATCTGTTGAGTGAGGACAGCTCAATTATTGTCCTACAGGCAAAGTATCAGGATGAGAATGAAGAAATATTGGATTTATAATTTTCCAAAAACTCAAAACAACTCCAGGCCACACCGAGTTTGTAAATTATTCTAGACAAGAAAGAAAGAAAGGAAGGAAGGAAGGAAGGAAGGGAGGGAGGGAGGGAGGGAGGGAGGGAGGAAAGGAAGGAAGGAAGGAAGGAAGGAAGGAAGGAAGGAAGGAAGGAAGGAAGGAAGGAAGGAAGGAAGGAAGGAAGGAAGGAAGGAAGGAAGGAAGGAAGGAAGGAAGGAAGGAAGGAAGGAAGGAAGGAAGGAAGGAGAGAAGGAGAAAGAGAAAGAAAGAAAGAAAGTAAGCATACCTGGTGATAGATATATTCAGCCAAATTAAGTTTGTTCAATGTAGTGCACATAAATGTCACAAAGATACCTAGTTAGTGGTTGGGAGTTAATGGGATAAGTCAAGAAAACATTCCCAAAAGTTAGCATTTTATGAGCAAGGAATTTGAAAGAGAAGAGACATGGGACAGTGATTCAGCACTTCAGATCTATCCGTCTTTGCTGAGAAAGAAGTGATGTTTGTTTCCAGCTTTTCATCTTCTGTACCCACTCAACCCACTGTTGAGTACCCACTCAAACATTCTATAATATGAGTACTTTAAGACTAGAACTATAGTTCCATTTTATAAATTTTTTAAAAATGAAGACTTATGATACTTAAATATTAGTAAGATGGTGTGAAGTTAAGATTAGAGCCCAGGATTTCTGATTTTTTTCTTTTTAAGAAAATACAGAAATCACTTGTGAGAACATGTACTTCCTTCTAGTCTTTTTTTATGTATATTTTTGCATAATTATATAAAATTATATATATGATTTCATGCCATGACTTTTTTCCTTTTATCATTTTACCATTAGCATTTGCCTATACTATTTATAGATTTTCCCAAAAGTTGCTTTTGCCTTTATAAGGCATTAAAATGCCTACTATAATATTCTATTTTATGGATATCCCATAACTTGTTTATTCATTCCCTTAGTGTTTGTTAACGAGATCTTTTTTAGAGTTTGCATGCTAGAACATCACAGTAAACATCCCTTTGAAACTAGTGGGTGGTAACTTCCATAGTGCAGGAACCCTAGCCATCTTATTCACCTTGACTCTAACACAAGGTCCAGCAGAGAGCAGGCATTCAGAAGGTAACTGTTGGATTAATGCATATATATAACTAAAATCTTGGTTTTTACCTCATTACTTTGTGAAAATAGATTCTTGGAAGTAGAATTACTGTGTCAAAGGATATAAACTATGACCTTTCTTAAAGGCTCTTAAAACAAATTGCCCAAATGCCATATTACTTTCCACAAAGGTTGTACCCGTATGTACCCTGGCTTGCAGTGTACAAGAGTGTCTAGCTTACCATAATCTCATCAACATAGATTATTAGTCATGCTAGCTACTTTGATGACTTTAGAAAGTGAAAAGTGACTTTTCATAGTGTATTTTAAGTTAATTTCATTTTTAAATTTACTATTCAGATAGAACACACTTCCTAGATATAAAATATCTGTGTACAATGTTTATTTTTATATTGAGAACAGTGTCATTAATGTAAGTCAAGTTTACAAGGCTTGTCAGATGTAAAGTAGATTTACCTTTTATTATGTTTTTAATTTATCATTTATATTTTAATTTAGTTTAGTTTTTAGAGAGAGGGATAAAATTATAGTCAAGCATCTTTTCCTTCCATGTTTTTCCCATTTCTTTTATGTGTGGAAATTAATTCTATTGCAGAGAGCAAGTTAAGTGATAACTTACACAGGCATCTAGTTTTTTTAAATTTATTTTGGCAGTAGTCTGAAGCAGGGATCTAACTCTAATTAATTTTCTGGGTCATCAACCTTTCCAGTGTGATAACAAAACCCTGATTTTTAAAAAGTCTTATTCTTCTAGAGGAATGTTAGAATAATTTTGTCAGACAGCAAATGAAAATCCTTCAGGAGCTAATTTAAATCTATAAATGATCAGGAAACCTGGGACCTTTTCTAAGGCTGTTTGCAGGTTGCAGGGATCAGCCACTTCCAGTGTTATAAAAATTGGGGACTAAATAAGCACAGTGTCTTTAATTTCCTGGCCAAGAACCATCATGGGCACAGACAGGAGGAATGTGAATTTAGGTCTCTTCAATCTTCCCAGTGCTGTCAAGACCAGCAGCCCTCTCAGGGAATTTGCTACCCATATAGATGGGCTTGGGGTTCTGGGTGAAAGAATGTGGACTTGGGTTCTGAAGATTTATTTGCCTGAGGTTTGAAGTCTGAAAGGCACGGACATCCTGTTCTAGAGACATAGACATCCTGATTCACTTAGATGGCATAGATGTGGCATTACAACATAATAGAGACAAGAAAGACACTCCAATCCCCAAGTTCTTAGAGCATGGCTATTGCTCAGTCTCCTGCCATTGTCACATGGTGTTCCTTTTTAATTAAAAAGGAAATATATTCCTGGAATATATTTCTCATTTCCAATTTATATTTCGAACTTTTTTCTTTGACTTTTTCTGATTATTAAAGCATATATAGAAGCTTGTTGCAACCCATTAACTGGAGACTGAATGTAATGGAAATACTATGTACTCAAGTATGAAAATGGAAAAGTGAGACATGTTGAAACTCTACCAGGAATGGGGGGAGGGGAAGGAATCTAGGAGAATGATGGAGGGGGTGAATCCAACTATGATATATTGTAAGAACTTTTGTAAATGTCACAGTGTACCCCCCGTACAACAATAATATAATAGAAAAATAAATAAAGAAGCTAGGAAAAAATGCATTAGTTAAATTTCACAGTTTCATCTGCTCAGTTTCCAGTAACTTTTTCATCTTTGAATTTCTAATTTAATTCTTATGTCCTATATCTTCCCAGCTTTAGTTGCTTTTTTTGTGTCAAGTAAAAAAAAAAAAAAAACCTCCTGAAATTCTACTTCTTAAGATACTGACACATAAGATACGATGTGAAAATGTCTTAATAGATCATGTTTACATTAAACACCAATTTCTAATAATGTAGAATCTTTAAATATAATAAAACTCAAAGGAAAAACTGGGTGACTAGGTGATATAAAGAACAAACATTCATCTGGGACAAGGTGATGGACCCGTGTGTGCACATTTCTCAGCTTGAACTCCCTCCCCTGAAACACATCTATTTTTTTTGGAAGCAGATATAGGGTTTGTTTGCAAACGTTCAGGGGCAGGAAGTTTATGGGAATTTTACCATCACCGGGTACTTGTTAGCTTCCTTAGCTCAGTCACCACAGAAGTGAAATGAAAGTACCTTGAATTATTAAAAAGTAACCAAATCAGTGTGTCTTTGCTCTCAAGCATCCAGGTAGCATTCATTATTTTTCTGGGCTATTTTATACCCCGCAGCTGCTAAGCTGTTCTTTTATCCCAGACTCCTGTATGCCTGAATGTTGCATGAAAAAAGAAAACTCTTGATCTTTAACAATTATAAAGTGCCTGCCTTCTGGCATCTAAAGAGAACAAAACAGGAAATACAAACTGCAGGGTGGTTCAGTAAAATTACTGAGTTGTATAACAAAAAACAGTTTCCATAAAGCCAAGGCTTTGCCACTTTGAACACACTGTCCCTGTCATAGCATGAAGCCCGCAGAGCTGTGGTGTTTCTCAACTAAGACTTTCAGGAATCCAATGTCTAGAAATTTTTAAATAGATGCTAACTTAGAGGGACTGTCTTCTTGGTGGCTCCAGTTCTTAGCAGAATGAGAAGCCCAGCATAGATGATCAATATTTACTGAGAAAATGAGTGGCTGTCGGGACAGCTTGAAGCACTAATGAATATTTATGTCGTGTAATTTCTAATCGTGGCACAGTGTGTGACCCTGTGATGTCGAGGTTGAGCCCCCACTGCCTTTTTCATTTCATTCCTCTTGTAAGGGTGGTGGTTCACAGACTTTGTACTGAGAGAGTACAAAGACCACACCCATCTCAGTGTGGAAGAGGTAGTCAGTCAGAATAAGCTTGCACTTTCTTCTACATAAAAGTTAGTTTCCATGCAATCGACAGCATGTCAGTGTGTACTTGAATGCCGGGTGGGTTAAATATAATCTGCTTTACTTTTCCTAAATTGTTTTAGTTCACCTTAGTTCAGATTGTACAGCCTAGACTGGATTAGATTCATATCATCTGGCCTAACGTCATTTAGTTTTTGATGAAAGTGGCTCTCAACTCATGTGCTTATTGTTGCAAAAGCACAATGTGACTTTCCATTTCTATTATTCTTTGGAAGTGAAGTGTCTGTGCTTTTTCTGCCTTTGATGTCCTTTTTTTCTTTGTGCACAGGTCTTCCCAGATACATGCTGCTGGCATTTTATTCTCTGTAACCCTCACTGTCTTGGTGAAATTTAGTCTCTGTGAATGTGTGTGGTTGTATGTGTGTTTGTATGCCTGAGTATGTAAGGGCATATGTGTGTATCTGTCAGTGCTTAGTGTGTGACAAACAATATTTGAGGTGCTTATTCTTGTCTCAAAAAAACTCATCCTTAGCAAAATACAGACCAAAATGAAACAATTGCCCTACAATTAAATAGTAGATAGAGTTGTTTGTGAAATATATAAGCAAAATGATTTAGGCAGGAGGTGTTCAGAAAGGCTACAGAGAGAAAGTGTCATTTACTTTTGGCTTTGAAAATTGAGTGGAAGGATACCAGATAGAAGTGCATTTTTAAAAGAATCAGCTGGGCTCCAAAGTGAAGGCTGAATAAGTTCTTGGAAAAAGAAATACCTGTAAGCTAATAAATCTTAGATGGTAGCCTGAGATAAGGAAGGTTCTTAGAAGTTCTGCTTTGAATATCCTCTCAGGTTCTTCCATCTTTTTATGCCTCTGAGAAATTATTGGACTACCAGTGCAGGCACAAGTTTTATAAGAGGAAAACTTCATTATGGAATAAAGTATAAATGCCCTGGAAGAGCAAAGCAACTCTTTTATTTCCTTCTGAAATAGAAATCTCTATGAATGGATATTTTTTTGTTTTGTAAATTGGCGTTTTCATACATAGGATTTCATTAAACCAAGGTTTTCCATGAAGACTATTTTACTTTGGACCTTTTAGACACAATTTTGGTTTTTTCTTTTTATTTCTGTGAAAATATCCTTCTTTCTTTTTCATCATAGAATCAACTATTTGCAGTGCTCAAATCTCAACTCTTGGGAAAGTGGAAATCAATGTTATTTTGGGAATGGCACAGTAATGAGCACTGACAATGCCAAACCTTCAGAGAATTTTTGTTTGCCAAGTACCTTAGGAAGATTATATGACCAATTTGTGTGGTGACAGAAAAGAGCAGGCTCATTTCCAGCTCATTTCTTCTTATAATCCTAGGAGAAAGTCTATGGACACTCTAATGGGAAAAGGATTGTCTTAGTTTAATGTGTTTTGCCCAAGTTGGGCAGTCATCATACCTGCTATACAGAAACAAAATGAAGCCAGGCGCCAGTGGTTCACGCTTATAATCCTAGCTACTCAGGAGGCAGAGATCAGGAGGATCACAGTTTCAAGCCAACAAGACCATGTCTCAAAAAAAAAAAAAACACATTACAAAAAAGCGCTGGTGGAGTGGCGCAAGGTGTTTGCCCTGAGTTCAAGACCCAATACCAAATGTGTGTGTGTGTGTGTGTGTGTGTGTGAATATAGCATAAATTTGCATATATACATACTGGCAGCATTTTTTCTTACTCACTAGGAAGAACTAAAGCCTAGTAGATCAGCTAAAGCAGTCTTCTGTCATGGATGTTATGATAATCCTAGAAATTTACACACCCCAGTCTCTCAGCCAATGTCACAGATTTGTCTATTTCACTCAATGGTTTGTGAGTATTCCACAATTGATGGCCTCTTTGTACAAAAATATTATGAGTTCCCACACTCTGCTTTGTAGCTCCTTAGATGGTACACATGCCAGTTAACCTTGGCTCACCAAAAGAGGTGGTTCCTGTTAGGAGCCTAAACCCTCAGCTTTAAGCCTGTCCAAACACTTCTTCACATCAACAAACAGCCTGAGACATCATTAGCCTCTAAGGAGAAGGGGCCCAGGAACTAGAGAAAAGGTTAGATCAAGAAGAATTAACCTAGAAGATAACACACATGCACAGGAAATCAATGTGAGTCAACTCCCTGTATAGCTATCCTTATCTCAACCAGCAAAAACCCTTGTTCCTTCCTATTATTGCTTATACTCTCTCTTCAACAAAATTAGAGATAAGGGCAAAATAGTTTCTGCCAGGTATTGGGGTGAGGGGGAGAGGCAGGGGGCGGAGTGGGTGGTAAGGGAGGGGATGGGGGCGGGGGGAGAAATGACCCAAACATTGTATGCACATATGAATAAAAAAAAAAAAGAAATCATTAGCCTTGTTAATGCAGTCTAGTGGTTGGAGTCTGGTCTGGTTGTAGAATATTTTCAAAGGTATTTTGTCACTATCAAGCAGGCAGAATAAAAAAAGACTACTGGGCTTATGTTGCTCACATGGTTTAGTTACTATTTTGTGAAATATTGATTTCTAGCTCTTTGTGATGGTAAAGGTACCCACAAAATTTCTTCCCATGATTGCTAAATTTGTGCTGCCTTTTTGCACCCTTAATTTCCAGAGAATCTTTTGTTTTTATAAGGAAAGGGTATAGGTGGTTGAATGCGGTGGAAATATTTTGTAGTCATGTATGAAAATAGAAAAATGAGATCTGTTGAAACTATTCTAGAATGGGTGGAGGAGGGATAAAGGAGAATGGTGGAGGGGGTGAATTCAACCATAATATATTGTAAGAACTTTCGTAAATGTCACAATGTACCCCCAGTACAACAATAATATAATAATAATAATAAAGTTAAAAAATAAAACATAATACAAGCCCAGATGGTCAACAAAATATCCTCAATTCTAGGTCAGTAGAGTACAAATTCATGAAGATCATTTGTTTGTTCTCTACCCAGCAAGGTACACTATTGTGTTTAGAATGACCAGCTGATCAAAATATAGTCCCTATTCCAGTAGAGATACATGAAAATCACTGAAATGGTGAACATTTGTGCTTTGTTGTCTCTCTTACCAAGATTTCTGTAAAATTGAAATTAACTAGATAAACTCTTTCCCCATGCTTTCTCTCCCCTTTTTTTTTTTTTTTTTTTTTTTTTTTTTTCAGTTGTTCAAGTTGGTTTTCCATGTCTTGGGAAACAAGATGGGGTAGCAGCATTCGAAGTAAATGTGATTGTAATGAATTCTGAAGGCAACACCATCCTCCAGACCCCTCAAAATGCTATCTTCTTTAAAACATGTCAACAAGGTAAGCACTGATAATGACTCATGAAAAGGCTCATAGGCTTCCAGGTGTGATTTGGGCAAAAATTTTTGTTATAGTTATTTGGATGATGATAAGCACACCAATGGGAAGAGGGAGTGGTAAGCAGAGGGTCCAGTAAGATAGTAGACAGACTTTCTCTGGCTTGGACACCACTTACACTTTTAGGAACTCCAGCAGCCCTTAAGAGAATACTTTCATTTTCCCCCTTTTCCAACACAATATTTGGGAGAGCCCAAGAGTATCTCACCTATTGTCATGAATTTCCCGTTTTCTTGCTCTAGTTCCTCATTCCAAGTATAGTCATGAATAGCATTTTCACCTGTGGAAGGTAACCGTACCCATAACCATATCCAATCTCCTTCTCCTGCCAAAGGCTTGGTGCAGCTCACCCTCACAGACGACAGGACACTACTATCATAGTGACCCTGCCAGGCGAGGCCCTCACTGCCATGTCCCAGACACCCACTTAAGCCTGAAGGCCTGTTTCTTTTCCCATCCCTTTACAAGCCTTTCCAGCACAGAATTTAAGCTCTGAAGCCAGTCAGTACTCTAAAGACAGGATCAAAAAGTTATCCCACTCTCTGGAAGTGAACATTGAGGACAACATTTATTCTTCCGCCGTGTGAATTTAAGGAGGAACCATATACATTTGTAAGTTGGGGGGGGGGCTTATAAATTTACTTTACCTTCTTCCACGAATAAAAACTTACTTTACCGTCTTCCGTGAGCCCCCTACTGTTGGAAGTAGGATTGCTGGAGACAAAAAAATCTTTGTGAACATTTAGTGAAATCCAAGTGGTGCAGAGAGAATGTGCTCAGTCAATTTACAGTCATTGATGCAGAGGAATAAAAATGACCACTAATTGTCACCCTGGCTATAATTACCCAACATGATCTCAAGGCGATGCTCTAAGCTCTGTTTTCTCTTTGGTGCAGCGGAGTGCCCAGGAGGGTGTCGGAATGGAGGCTTTTGTAACGAGAGGCGAGTGTGCGAGTGTCCTGATGGATTCTATGGACCTCACTGTGAGAAAGGTATGGAGCACGGGGAGTCAGGAGCCCTGGCTTGCTTCCTAATGAACATAAATGCCACGCAGCACCCCCATGTGGGTTTTTAACACATCCCCTGAAATTATTTTTCTGGTCACACTATAAGGATTGGTGAAACTTTAAAAAGCCACAGAAGAGCTATTGGAAAGTTTTTTGTTTGTTTTTTTTTTCTAGGAGTGGTTTTCTGTTAAATTCGGTATGTGGTGAAAGGGTCAGAGAAGTTTGGCACAAAGTCAACACTCTTTGTGGTCCCCGTACCTTCACTATTATTCATACTGTACTTTGGAATAAGTTCATGAAAGTTTTGAGGGGTTTTTTTCCCCCTCCACTTCAGCTAGTATCATTATTGTTATGAAATTATTCCAATTAAAAGTAGCTTCATTCACATTCAATTAAGTCCACACTTGAGTTGTGAAGCTGTTATAAATCTAAAAATAAAAGGATGATGATAATTTGTGTAGAAAGCACATCCATTTCTGGGAGATTTTTTTTAAGAAAATTATGTGATGATGAGACAGTATGGAACCCCGAAGCCCCATTTAAGGGACAACATGACTGTGACTACTGAGTCAAGGAGCTCTGAAGTTGAATTAGGAGGTATAGCAAGGAGTTCTTATAGAACTTTGGATGAATCAAAAACAGAAGTTCATACATACGCTTAGCTTGGGCCACCACAGGCAAGTGGAAAATAAAAAAATGCAAAGCCTTGCTTTAAAAAAAAGAAAATTATGTAAAAAATAGCCTGATTATTACCACCACAACATTTTAAAATATAGCAAGCACTCTGGATCTCTGAAGAGTAAGCATTTTAGAGTCAATCACAAAGCCTCAAATTGCTGTATAGTTGACATTTCAAAATGATCCTGCTCCCAAATCCTGTTTGGCTTACTCAGGTTCTCTCTCTCCTATAAGCTCTTTGCATACCACGATGTATGAATGGCGGACTTTGTGTCACTCCTGGTTTCTGCATCTGCCCACCTGGGTTCTATGGAGTCAATTGTGATAAAGGTAACGGTTTCTTCTTAAGAACAGAGTTCTTACTTTTCAAATGTTTGAGTAAAATAAGTATACACAACATGTCATGTCATTACTCTGCAGGTATGTCACTTAGGGTAAGAATGACTGCCATGATAACTAAAATCCCGACTTGAGTGTCATTTTACTCAGCAAAAATCTATTTTCACTCCCAGAATGCTGCTCCAGTGTCAGAATATGGGTCAGTGTGCAGCTTAGCACTTCCCCCTGCAGTGACACAGCCAGCATCCATCTGAGGCCCTGGTTAGCACTTTGGAGTGCTCCAGATCCAGCCAATAAGCGGAGAAAGATATTGAAGTGGGGCACTTCTTAAAAAAACAAAAAGCCCATTCTCCAGATGTGACCCACAAAAATTCCACACCTACTCTGTGGATAGAAACTAGCTTCATGGTCCTACCTACATGGAGCCAGAAGAAACGTCTGGTGGCACACCTGTCCCACTGACAGCTCACGTTCAGAAAGGAGCAAGGGCTTTTGTGAACAACTAGCTGCCTCTGCCACATGGAGTTTTGGTGTGCCCTAAATCAGTTTTGTGGGTGAGCTTCTAAAACCCAAATTAAACAACTCCCAGTTCAGTGCTCTGCTCACAAATTACATCCTTGAGAGATTGCTGCCTCCTTCTTGACGCTGCAGCAGCATGGCCACATTTGACTCAACAGGGACTGGATTCAAACCGAATGATTCATAGTCTTTACACGATATCTGCCTAGTTTACCAGTTCAGTCTTTTAAGTGGAAAAACATTTAAAAGTATCCTGCAAAGCTTATGGATTTAATGGCATTATCCTCATATCTGTAATGCTAATTGCAATAGAGCATTGGCTTTTTTTAATTACAATATGCCTTAAAATAGAATGATGAATTTTATTCGCTGGAAGTCTCTCTAGTGATCATTCAGTTAGCACTAAGATTGCAACTCACAGTTTTTTAAAAAAAGAAAGAAAAGCTAAGAGGGCTCATCATGAGTCAGAATAATAATTTGTCTGTCTGCTATTTTATGATATATAAGTTACTTTCATGCAGTTATCTGATTTTACTCTCAATGACCTTTTGAGTTATGGAAAGTATTATCCATTTCATTCCCAGAGAAACATAAAGAGGTCTGTAGAGCTTGGGTTTCTTGACCCAAATTCATTCTGCCCTCTCCATCCTGTTGCCACCCTCCCTACCTAACTCAGCTCCCGGTTCCTCCCCAAGCAACTCTGGACTTGGGCAGAGAATGCACCTTCTCTAAATTGGGAATTCAGTCCTTAACCCTCCTGCTCCCACATCCCGGAGGGATCTAAAATAATATCTGAAAGTATTCATGTCTTTTATTGCAGGTGGTCTTTTTTAACTATAGCATTGGGTTAAAAAATTTTTAAACATATATTCATAAAGAGTAAACACTGATGCCAATAATGATCAACAGGCAGTGAGTAAAATTTTTTATGATGACACTTCATTTTGTCTAAATTTAACAGTTGACATGTCTGCTATTTCAAAGTTGGGCATTTCTTAAAGCAGAATTAAACACAGATTATGACAAAATTATTAGGAAATAAAATAGATCCTCCAGTGATTTGAAGGAAAAACTTGGATATTCACAGGTTCAAAGAAATCATTTACGGCTGGTGTTCAAATCCCAGTACCACAACAAAAAAAGAAATGACTAATGAGGGCTGCTTATGTTCACATAGCCAGGGTTGGTATGATTTGCACAGGTCAGTGTCCACTGCAATGTTTTTCTAATGGTGTTGTCACAGTCCTTCATGGTCACTGCTGAGGAATGTATCAATCTGTATTCCAGTAATTTTATGTTTTATAATACTTCATCCTTTAGATGAAAGATTTTATTACGTGTTAGACTCCAGTAATTTTTTAAAGATTCTTTTGGAAAGTCTTGAAATTCCAGTTAGTCTAACAAGAGACCTGGGAATACTAAAAAGATACTACCTTTTGCTACCTCAACAAAAAGATGCTTTTATTATCCAGGAACTTCTGAGAAATGGTTTAATTACTGGCATGAACTATATCTTAGCACTGCATATTGGAATAAACATTAGAGAACAACTGTCATTGACCCTCAGGACATTAGCCACAAACTTTAGGAGATGACTAGTTAAACATTGACTGGCACATCCGTAGCCCCAGTGAAAGTTGCTTAGTGTCTCTGACTCAATGCACAACAGAAATCGTGTTAGTCCATTTTCTGTTGCTATAACAAAATCCCCACAGCTGGGTACTTTAAAAAGAAAGAGAGGTTGTTAATTAAACTCACAGTTCTAAAGATTCCGGAACATTTCATCAACATCTGCTTGAGTCTGGTGAGGGCCTCTGGCTATATCACAGCATACCAGATGTGGCTTCATGGTGGGAGTACCTGCAAAAGGGAGACAGGAAGCTAGAGAGAATCAAGGGCCAAGCTTGCTCTTTTTATAACAACTTGCTGTTGCAGGAACTAACCAAGGTCCCATAAGCACTACATTAATCCTTTCTGAGAGCAATGGCCCCAGTGACCTAACTGCCTTCTGTTAGCTTCCACCACTCCTCAACACTGCCACTCCTGGGGACTAAGCTTCCAGCACATGAATCTTTGGGGTACCCACTCAAACCACATGCAAACCATAGCAGAAATGTGGAGAGGCTATCTCCTCTTATCCTCTTATCCTCCTTATCTCCTCTTATCCTCAGGAGAAACAGGGACAAGGAGGGAAATGGGAAACGACTTGTGAAAACAACTGCCCAGCCCTAGCAATGCTAGCAGCATAGGGCAAAGAGAAAGTCCAGGGAGTTGGAACTCCCTAATCCTAAATTCTATGCTGAAATGACATGCTACTGCTGATTTCTACATCAAGATGCTTGGTTTTGCTGAGACAAGTATAGCCTTGCCATAAGCTGGGAGAGGCTTATGATTTGAAACACAAAGTTTGTCATTTAAGAAGCATGATATTCATAGAACACTTTAGCTCGATGTCTTTTCCAACAAAGAAAGCACTCACTTCTAACTTTTGGATTTCCTTTCTGATTTTCCTTCTGGAAGCTTACTTTAGCTTTTGTTCATCTATAGCCAAGTTTGGCCTGTTTTATATGGGGCTAGAACAAACAGGACATATAAATGAAATTGCTCAAACCCCAAGCTCTAATTTTAATCTTCTTTACAGAGTGAGCCAACTTGTCTACTTTTAGATATTTCCTCTCCCCATTTCTATTTCTCCATCCTCCCTCTATTTCAGGTGCCTGCGAGCAGTGAAATTCTAGAAATTGACACCAAGCTGGAGGGTTTAGGATGAATTAAAGTATGATTATTACCAGGATATACAATTGGACTCCCATTCTAATACATCTAACCTCGATCTCCCTCTGGCTCAGCTGCTACCACATCCCTACCTGTGGGATCTCCGAAGGGTGCACAGTCTGTCTTTTTCTCAATACAATTACTTCTTTCTCCAAATGTCATAAAAGTCTATTCTTTAAAATCCTCTTAGGTAAAATGAATTTCTGTTCGTCTTACTCTGAAAGAAAGTTGCTTTCTCCTTCATTGGATTCTTTTGTGTATCCCAAACTAAGTTTTCTCTTATTTATTCTTCCTTTATCCTCCAACCTGATGTTTTTAAAAAATATTCTTTTGGATTTATAGCATTCTTCTTTTAAAAGCGCAGGTTTTATTTAACAATTAAAAAGTCAATTCTCTTTACATACCATGCATTTTTTCATCAGGATGTGAACTCGAGGAGTGGGAGGAATGTTAATGTATGTGATATCCTATAATGTCCTATCACATTCTGAAATCAAACAATTATAATCCAATTGAAATTATAATTTGAAATTAGTTTGAATAACTGAAGTAATTGGTTACAAGTTTTGTTTTTGCCAAGTGGCTTGCTTATTATGTAAATGAGCAATATAGATGCCTAAGAAATACCACTTACTTGAAGTGAAGTTTTTGTTAGGCATAACCTATGGTCTAATGCAGTACCCCATTATTCATTCCAACAGCAAACTGCTCAACCACCTGCTTTAATGGGGGGACCTGTTTCTACCCTGGAAAATGTATTTGCCCTCCAGGACTAGAGGGAGAGCAATGTGAAATAAGTGAGTATTGACTTTCTGCACGCTCTTTATTCTGGGGGACCTTAGAAACTTCATCTCACTCCTTCCTTTTATCAGAGAAGAATCTGAAGCTCAGAAAGACTGAATAGCTTGTTAAGATCTTAGGTCAATCTTTTCTTTTTACTATATTCATCTGCCACTCATTTTGGCTAAAGGTGGGGCAGAATGACATGGCACACATTAGAGGACTCTGATCAGTTAATTAGCATGTTACACTGTTTCTTGTTAGTCACTTCTTGTTGTTATTCAGAGCCCAGAAATGAAGACCAGAGCTTTGAAACAACTACCTGCAAGAATAGAGGGTTTCCTCTCTGCCACTCACTGCCAGATGTCCTAGAATAGACAGAGCCTCCTAACCCATCTAAGACAAAAGGATAGACTAAAGAAAAGGGAGAGAAAAGGTGGAGCACAATAAAAAGAAAAAAGAAAGAGCTAATAGCACACACAGCAATGTGAGTGAATCCATTCAGTGAAATGAGCTCAGTGCCTACTGCATGGCTCTGTATTTTTGAAGTTCAAGAATAGGCAAAATTCACAGAAAGTTAAAAATACAACTGCCATATGATCCAGCAATCCTATGACCATGTGTACATCCAATGGAAATTAAGTCTGTCGTGTTGAAGACACATCTGCTCGCTCGTGTTTATTGCTGCATTATTCACAGTCGCCAAGATATGGAATCAGCCTAAGTGTCCACCAATGGGTGAATGAGTTTTTGATGTGGTGTGTATACACAATGGAAGACTATTCAGACATAAAAGAGAGAAGGAAGTCCTGACATTTGTAACAACATGGATGAACTAGGAGGACATTCTGTTGAGGTAACCCTGACACAGGGAGACAAACACTGCATGATCTCCCTCATGGATTGAATCCGAGAAGAGTCACTCTCACAGAACTAGAGCATAGAATGGCTACTGAGGGCTGGACAGTGGGTGGGAGGCAGTTGGTGTGATGTCGGTCTACAATGTAAAGTTTCAGTTAGAAGGAATAAGTTCAAGAGACATTATACAACATAGTGACATAGCTAATATATTGTATTCTGAAAACACTTTAAAAAGATTAAAAATAAATGTAAACTAAACAAACAGACAAATAAAAGAATAGGCAAAATTAAGTTGGAGATGTAGCTCACGTGGTAGAATGCCTGTCAGCAAGCATGGTGCCCTGAGTTAAAACCCCAGTACTGCCAAAAATAAAAAAGAATATGGAAAAGTAATGGTGAGAATCATAATTTGGTGACAGCAGCACAACTTAATGGGGTGCTGAAAATGTTCTGTGTCTTGATTGGGGAAGGGTCATGTGCTTATTTGTGTAAAATAATTAAGCTGTCAACTTAAGATTGGCACACATCAACTTAAGATTGGCACACATTCTGCCTTCACTGTATGTTTGCCCTGCTGTGATATGAGGAAGATACAATTCAAGGGTAGCATGTGGTTGACCGTCACTGTTTTTGGCAATCAGTATACCAAACAGCTTGTCCTGGTTTGTAGCCCTCGGCAAGCCATTTCACCTCTCACACTCAGACATGAGCGAGCCCATCCTAGATTACTTTATGACCCAGAGACTAATAGTGCCAAGGAAGGAGTGAAAAGGGACCAAGTGTGTCCCCTGAGGGTGCTGTGCCTTGGTCTTTTGGGTGTGTGTCGAGAGAGATGACTCGGTTGTCATTCTCCTTTCTGACTGTGTTGTGTCTGGTGCAGCCACGGCTTCTGAGGCTGTAGTGGATTCAAAAATGAATAATACTGAGTTCCTGTTTTAACTTCCAACCTCTAATTTCTTTGTGGGTTTTTGTACTTTAATTGAGTAGTAGGTGAAGTAACCGTTTTTTATAGAGTTCAAATGAAATACCTCTGAAGTTTCCATAGAACATGTAATTAATTGTCAGGATGTGGTTTCTATTCTTATTAATTACCCTTTCCTGATAAAGACATCTCTGAACTGACTCCCCTCAGTTTTCTCCTCATGCTTACCCCAGACATTGCCTAGTGAGTAGGTTTGTTTGTAAGTCTTTGCTCATGGATTCATTTTATGTAAGGATGTCTTTTCCTGCCTTTGGCTTTGTGAATGTTCTGTTGGCAAAGGCAATGTTTTTTATTCTTGGGGATTTTTTGGTTGTTGTTGTTTTGGGTTTTTTTTCTAACTGGACCAAAAATGTGGACTTCTGAAAGCTCCTGATTGATCTTAGAACAAGTTTTACTCAAATTGTTTTAGGAAATAGTGTTTACAAGAACCACTATCAGGGAAAAAAGAAAATGGAAATTTGCCTTGAGTTGAAAAGTGCCTCTAAAAGTATAAAAAGTAGAGTTGAATTATGTATTATTCTATTTTAATGAAGATATGAAATTCAACATTTTAAAGTATATCATTCAGTACATTCACAAAAAAATTCATCATCCCAAAGAGAAAGCCCATACCTATTACCAAACATTCTCCATTCCCCTCATCCCCCAAACCCTGGTAATCACTAGTCTACTTTCTGTCACCTTAGGCATGCCTGCCTGAACATTTCATATAAATGGTGTCATACAGTACGTGTATGGTATTTTGGATCTGGCCTCTTTCAGTTCAGGTCCATCCTAACGTTTTCAAGCATGCACATGGTGTAGGTTATTATGTCAGTGCATAACTCCTTTATATTGCTGAATAATACTCAACTGTATTGTATTGTTTATTCATTCATCAGTTGGTGAGCATTCAAGTTGTTTACATATGAAGACTATTATGAACAATGCCACTGTGAAAATTTGTGTGCAGGTTTTTTGAGTGCGTCTAGGTTATTTCTCTTGGATCTGTACCCAGGAGTGGAACTGCTGGATCATAGGGTAATACCTTTTTTGAGGAACTGCCAGAATCTCTTCCAAAGTGGCTGCACCATTTCATATTCCCACCAAGCAATGTATACAAGTTCTAATTTCTCTACATCCTTGCTCACACTCATTATTCTTTTTTAAATGAGGTATACATTTCAATGCCATTTTTATTTTATTTTAATTTATCCTGACCTTGGTCAGGAATGACACATTTGCAAACTTCATTCTGACTTAATTGCAGAATATGCTTATAAGCCAGCAAATAAAACCATCACCAGAAGTATCTGGATGGATGGATGGATGTTGCATCCATCTTCTTAAGTCCCACAGATTTCCCAAGAGTCTTTGAAGAACAATTCAATTTAAAGGACCATATAAATTACTTATATTATAAATAAAATTTTAAAATAACAGTGAGTTCTTATAATGAAAGTTCACAGTATAGAATGTTCTCTGTAGGAAATTTAGAATATTTGAGAAAACAGTTAAAAATGGTCCATATTCTAAGACCCAGAGATGATGGTTGCTGGCACTTATAAGCCCCTTTGATTTTTTTTTCTTGGCCATGAAACAGAGTCACAATTTTAAGTTATCCTGCAATCAAAGGGGTAAAGTAACTTTAATGTCTTAGGATATGGTGTTGTTCTCATAAGGATTGGTCCACTGCTTACACTAAAAACGCTAACTGCTCAAACAGTCAAATTTGCTTGTCCTTAGGAAATGCTTAGTATCTTTAGGTAAAAATGTATAATCTGTCATGCTGATTTAGTTTTCCATTGTCCAATGGGTAAAATTTGGCTGCAAAATATTTTCAAGGAAAGGAAGTCAATATTGGAAACGTGTAGGATTCTGAATTTTAAAACAATCTTAGATTTGAATTTTAAAACAATAAGGTTTGGCCTCCCATAATCTTTGAACTTGCTATGGCCTTCTGGCAGTCCCCTGCAGTCACATTTCCATCATGTGGAAATCCTCCCCCCTGACTGAGGTAAACCTGAGGGTCCTCCCATTTCTCTTGCCAAGAACACAGAACGATCAGTCGAGTCAATGAAAGGTTCCTCAACTTAGCCCTCTCTACATTATTCCTGGTTACCACGTTCACTCCTAAAATATCATGGGGAAATTTTGGCTCACTAAGTGTTTCACTTATAACTACCCTGTTGTTCCTGCTATGTAGTTATCATCCCACATCTTGTTTGCTTATAAAAACTGCATTATCCAGGCGCTGGTGGCTCACGCCTGTAATCCTAGCTATTCAGGAGGCAGAGATCAGGAGGATCTGGTTTGAAGCCAGCATGAGTAAACAGTTTGACAGACCTGTCTTGAAAATACCCAACACAAAGAAAGGGCTGGAGGAATGGCTCAAGTGGTAGAGTGCCTGCCTAGTAAGTGCAAGGCCCTGAGTGCATTGCAGAATACTATGACATGATCCAATGTTGTGTATGTGTTGGATTCAGGTGTTCCTTTGATGCAAATGGAAATTGGGAGTTAGTGAGATTCCTTTCTTATAGATAAGATTTGAGATCTTCACTAAACAGTAGATGGTGTTCTTGTGTCCAAATCTAGCAAGTAGGACTTTTAATAGTTGATGAAAAGATTCTATTAAAAAAGATTGTTATAATACCTGTTTCTGGAACATATTTGCTTCAGAAAAAAATTCAAAGTCTAATTGTATTCCAGATTTTTCAAGAGACCCTAACTTCCCAATATCATTATATTTATGTTTTCTCTATGATAATTAAATAACCAGAGATGATGGTTGTTGGCACTTGTAAGCCCAAGTTGTTGTGTTGTGTTGGTCTAATTATATACAAATGAAGTCTTTTTACTTAAGCAAAAAATTTTAAAAGGTGTTTTTCAATAAAATGATTTTCCTATGGAAAGTTCTTCTTTTGTCAAGAATAGTGATATTAGTAAAATATATGCAGTTTGCTTCTCTCAAAGCTTTTTTTTGGCCATAAAAAGAAAGATTTAGAGAAGGAAAGGTGAGTTAGTTAAAGATGAAGAGTTCATTAGTAAGCCAAGCGCCAGAGGCTCACACCTATAATCATAGTTACTTGGGAGGCTGAGATTGGGAGGATTGCATTTTGAGGCCAGCCTGGACAAATAGTTCATGAGACCCCATCTCCAAAACAACCAAAGCAAAATGGACTGGAGGTGTGGCTCAAGTGGAAGAGTACCAGAGTACCTGCTTTGCGTACATAAAACCCCAAGTTCAAACCTCAGTCCCACCAAAAAAAAAAAAAATTCCATTAGTTTTCCTTATTACCCAGAAGGCCTATATAATACATGTTCTGCTAAAACTAAAGCAGAAGCAGCACAACAACAGCAACAAAACAAAGTGATCCATTACCAAAACCCAGTGGCTGCTTACTCTCTGTGACATCTTTACACCCTTGACAGGATAAAGTGTCAGCCTGCGCAAACAGTATGTTATAGTCCACTTCCTCAAAAACTTCATCCTTCAGGTGGCAAATTCTAGTTTGCAGAGGGAAAATAAATAACCTCCAGAGTAAGAAAGGAGAAAATTATTGCATAATTTTTATATTCTATTTTAACACTAAAATTCTGGGATTCAAAGACTTGTGAAAAACATTAGCAATACTCACTTGGCAAAGAGATATCAAAAAGAAGATGTATAATTAGCATCTGAGACATTCTGGAAAGGCACAGCTATAGTATTGGGCATCTTTTGTTCCCTACCTTGTATCCTCTTGCCCAACTTTCTCTCCAGCCCTTGCCATGACAACCTATTTTGCACAGGTGCACTGCTGATGTACCTCATCTTATCTGCTCCCCACTTGCTTTCTCACCCCAGACACCTCTGAGTTCTTGTGAATCACATGCTGCAGTTACAGGATGGAAGCATGAGGAAGTTATCTCCCAGGGCAACACTTAACCAGCGGGTATCGAGTGCTCCCCTCACCTTCTTGCAGACAACTCTAAGGCACAGCTGATACAGCTCCTCAGAAGAACCCAGTCAGATAGAGCCCAGTTGCCCATAGTGGCTTTCTGACCCATGACACACTTTTGTGTCACCTTTCCCTCCTCTATTTCATTCTTCCCATGTCCCCATTACTGTTTCCTATGCTTACTTCCTCAAATAAGTTATTTTCATGCAAGCCCTGCTTTCTGGAGAATTCTAGACTAGGTCTATGTCATCAGGTATGAGTGTAGGCTTGCTTCCAGAAAAAGTAACATTCAAAAGCCAGAACTTAGAGCAAATATATATTAAGTTTTTAGTAAAGCATATCTTGAATTACAAGTATTTATGAGTCAGTTAAAAGATTATTCTGTTTATTTAAAAAGTAATATAACTACAGCATTTGGGCAATATGTTCATTGTGGAAAAAGATATGAAATAGGTAGATAGATACATACGTACATACATACATAGATGGATAGAGCCATGCATATATATCCAAAATCGTAAGTAAAAATATTAGCCTGTCTGTTCCAAAAGCAAAACTCACACAATGAAAAACCAGAGTTGATCTGAAATAAGTAGATATGACTGTCATTTAAAAGCATTTATCCTCTCAAAGCCTTGCAATTCCTTTGAAAGATGTAATTGCCTCTGAAGAAAGCATTGAGTTCCTTGCTTATTTGCATTCCTTTCTATTTCAGGCAAATGTCCACAGCCCTGTCGAAATGGAGGTAAATGCATAGGTAAAAGCAAATGTAAGTGCTCCAAAGGTTACCAAGGAGACCTCTGTTCTAAGCGTAAGTACCACATACAGCCATCAGTCTGGGTTAGGGGTAATTGAACTAACAGTCCTCTCGTGCTATCTAACTTTATTGCCTGCTGCCTGTTGCCTGGGCATCACAGTTGACTTTCTTCACTGACAAATATGTTTCCTTCATGTAAAATAAAGACACTTTAGGGAACCTATGCATGTAAAAAATTCACACATTCACACACACACAACTGGATTTTTTTGTGTGTTTATCTAATAGGCGTTTCCTTAAGGAAAATGAACTTCCACTGCCAAGCACTTTCAAAATTCTACTCAGAGTCTTTTGTGAATGAGAAATATGGTGCATAGTTTAAGATCACTCTCAGGACATTTTCAGAAAGTCCAAAACTGACTTTTAGTTAGAGATTGAGCCAAAACTAACTTAAAACTAGCCTAAAGAAAAGGTCTACAGGAAAAGTAACTATGTAATCCTGTTGAAAAAGGAAAACTCAGGAACTATTTTTTTTTTTTATCTCCTCTGATTCTAGCCATCTGCGAGCCTGGCTGTGGTGCACATGGAACCTGCCATGAGCCCAGCAAATGCCAATGTGAAGAAGGTTGGCGTGGGAGACACTGCAATAAAAGTGAGTACAAGACCCCTATCATTAGCAGCAACTTCTTCTCTGTCCCCTTCCCCTCCCTCTCTAAAGAGTCTGAGCTTTAGAGTATAAAAAGTAAGTAAGGCACCATTGTAAAATGTCACTAGATTTGTAAAATATCACCACAAATATATAGGTTAAAATTGTAATATAAGCCAGGTGCCAGTGGCTCATGCCTGTAATCCTAGCTATGCAGGAGGCAGAGATCTGGAGGATTGCTGTTGGAAGCTAGCCAGGCAAATAGTTCATGAGACCCTATCTTGAAAATACCCATCACAAGAAAGGCTGGTGGAGTGGCTCAAGGTGTATGTAGGCCCTGAGTTCAAGCCCCAGTAGCACACACACACAAAAATCATAATAGAGGTTGATTTGGTAGTACAGTATGTTAACTGTGAAGGAAGTGAGAGCTAAAGATTTTAAATCAGATATAGAATCAGTATCTACTTTCCACTGATTTTAAAATTCAGTAGTACTCGAGGGGGTTAACCTGATGAAAGTACAATATGTGTGCATATGATGCATTGGAAAACTACGACAAACCCCTTTGAACAATTAATAAAGATTTATCAAGTCACATGTAAAACATGGTAAGTTTTACTTTTTAAAATCTTTAAATTGTTAGATATAATGTTTTAAATGAGTTCTTTTAAGGGAAAGGCAAGATCCAGAAGCCCTCTAGGGGAGAGATGTTATAATGAAATTGCATTTTTTTCAAATTTACTGACTACCAAAGAAGCAGTTCTATAAATAAACCCTTGGGCTACTTTATACATGAGCTGATAAATTGAGTCATTCGGTATTGATCGGTGTCTTTTGTGTGTTAAGTAGGAATGCAGACACTGGGGACCCATAAGTGAGCAGAAAGAAGAGACCCTGCCTCATAGAGTACATTCCAGTAAGGGGGTGGTCAATTAGCAAGTGAACAAAATAGCTCAGCTTTAGTATATCTGGCACGGAACACAGTCTAAGTCACTCTGAGGAAAAGAAAGTTTCAGTCATTCACACTTTCTCTGGGAGTTAGCTCCTCACACAGTGATAATGGTTGGATGGTGTCTCTACTAGGCCATACTTTGGGGAAACCTGTGGACTAAAAACCTATTAAAGACTAACTTTTTTTTTTGGTGATACTGGAGTTTGAACTCAGGGCCTTGCACTTACTAGACAGGCCCTCCACTGCTTGAGGAACTCCCCCAATCCTTTTTGCTTTAGTTTTTTCTCAGATAGGGTCTGGCACTTTTTGCCCCAGTCACCCTTCTTCCTGCCTATGCCCCCCAGGTAGCAGGGATTACAAGCATGTACCACCACTCCTGGGCTGGGAGATTAACCAATTCTAAATCCATTTTAGAAAAGAGTAAGACAGGCCTTTTATATACAACTGGATAAGCCAGACCTTTTATGCCAGCCCAAGGTTTGTCCCAGAATCAAAGTAACTCTTCAGAATCCTTGAACCTAGGGATGATGTGAGGTCAGATCACACACCCCAGCACTCAACTGCAAACATCTGTGGGTATCACTTCTTGAGCTTGGTGGTCACCAAGAGTGATGAGAGGCAGGCACAAGGGCAGTGCTTCCACTAACATACCCAGCCACTCTTCCAAAAAAAGGCAAGTTCAGGGCCCTTCCCGTAGTACAGTAATGAATGAACACTGCTGTCAGGGCTGCAGGCCTCCAAACAGCACTCCACTATAGACCACACTAATTAACCTGCCATCCGTGTACCACCTGCAAAGCAAGACATTGTGTGCCCAGAAGGTGCCCTGGTGCTTGATCAAATGCCTATTTTCTGGGAGAGGCCACCCAGCCATTTTATACATTAACTAAGAGACTCAAGAGCAAAGAGTGGAGTTTATTTTGACTAGAGGGAGGTGACAAGCAAGCTCTGAGTCACAGGGTTCTGGTAAGTACAGACTCCCAGTGGGGCAACACGTTGGGAGGTCCCAGGCACCCAGGCGTCATAGTGGGGAGGAGAATCCCAGAGACAGACGTCCCTGCTTAGGTTCCCCTTCGGCAGCAGGGAGGGTGGGGCTACATGGGTGGCAAGTCAAGCAGCATGGTAGGGATTTACTGCAGAGCATTGTTGGCTGGGTTTTGACCATCTCATGAGCTTCTTGCCTACATACTGACAATTCAAAGAAACACATTCAGGAACAAAGAAGTCTGTTCTCAGTAGTTCTTTAACAGCATGCTTGCATTTAAAAACCACAAGGAACAAAGGAAATGCTGAACTGGATGCACAGGAAGATGGAGACAGAATTTTTTAAATTATTTAATTAGCTTATATTAATTGTACAAAGGGATTTCATTGTGATATTTTTATACATGCATACAAATGTACTTTGACCGAATTCACCCCCTCTATTACTCATTCTTTTTCCTCCCTCTGGCCCTGCTTTTTTTTTTTTTTTTTTTTACAATTTTTAATGCCTTTCATTATTCTATTTTGTTTTTCTTTCTTTCTTTTTCTGGTAGAACTGGGGTTTGAGCTTAAGGCCTCAGCTTGCTAGGCAGGCATTCTACCACCTGAGCCACGCCCCCAGCCCTCATTATTCTGTTTTCATATATACATATAAAGCACTTCGATCAAATGTAATCACTGTCTTGGATCAGCTCTGGAAATTAGAAATGAGTCAGTGCCTCAAGCACCTCCAGAAGTTCACAAGTGGAAGGGAAGTCTCAAGTAGCTTAACTCAGTGTTACATTCCACCTACACCAAACTGGAAATGGATAGCTTATCCTTGAATGGAACTTACAAATTCCATTGATAAGGAGTCAGTTCAGATCATAAGTCTTTCTCTAACATGTGTACTGGAACTCCTTATTGCTCAGAAAATTTCTCTTTTGTGTGAGTGCAGTGGCACACCTAGTTGTGTGATCTATGTCAAGAGCAGAAAGTGTTATTATAGTGAACTGAATCTACATAAACTAGGCTGGTTGTACAATGCAATGAAAAGGATCGATGATCAAATCCTCTGGGGAGACATTCAGACCTCAGTGTAGATCCTTCCCAGCGCCCCCCCTGAGGGGAAAGTACCCTTTCATTCAATCCCATGCATCCAAACTCTGCAGTATGAGTTTCCAGATGGCGAAAACACAGAGTGAGTGGGAAATCAGTGGAAGGCAGATTTGATGAAGTTAGTGAAATGGGTTTTTGTTTGATGGAGCTCTTGAACCTGTCACGTGTCTTCATTCAGGTAGCTTTTTGTGGTTGCTGTGGTCTTGCACTCTGGGTTGAAAAGGGAAAATGGATTTCACTGAATGGTTAATGAAGAATCTGAAGAGCCTGTTTTTGTAGTTTCTTTTCTTTTAAGCTGTGAATGCTTTTGCAGGGTACGGAGCCAGCCTCATGCATGCCCTGAGGCCAGCAGGCGCTGGGCTCTGGCAGCACACGCCTTCACTTAAAAAGGCTGAGGAGCAGCAGAATCCACCTGAATCCAATTACATCTGGTGAACTCCAGCATCTGAACGATTTAAGTTACACCAAGTTCATGGCCTTTGTTAACCTTTCATGTGTCGAGTGTTCAAATAATGTTCATCACAGTGAAGAATACTGGCCTGAATTTTATTAGCTTCATTATAAATCACTGAGCTGATATTTACTCTTCCTTTTAAGTTTTCTAAGTGTGTCTGTAGCATGATGGTATAGATTTTCTTCTTTCAGTCCTGTGGGACAGATTTTATATTATGTCAGTTGATCAGGTTAAAATTTTGTCTTCTCAGTGTGTAGTTGGCAGATATTTGCAAAATTCTAATGATTCATGGTGTTGAGAAGCTGAGGAATGTTAGGTTAAACTGGGCAAAAATGCAAAAATCACAACAGTTTGGATGAAGCAGTTAATAATATTGAAGTTATAGCATTTCAAATTTTATTGTCATATACTTAGACATTTGTCACATTTAAAACTTGCTCTTATTTTTAAATTCTCATACAATATATTTTGACCTTACCATTCACTGCAGAGTTCAGTATTAAAAAAAAATACTAAAATATTACACTGTGGTAGTGGCATTTAAGCAATATAATATATTGTAAACACGATGAAATAAGGAATATAATGTATGAAGTTTTGCATTGGCTTGAAGCAACATAATATATTGTAAACAAAACACAGCTCTTACATAATAAACATTTTATACTGTTTGTATGTATAAAATAAAGGTGCTGCTTTAGTTTTCTGAGTGTTGTATGGAGTGGTGTTTTAATCCCCAGTATCCTATGGAAGTAAAGTTGGTTGCGATTTAATGGTAGTTAATACTTTGCAGTACAATTTAAAAAAAAAATAAGGTTCCATTCTCCATCCCTGCTGCAGCTCTCCAGCCTTGTCGCTTCCTCCCAGATCTCAGACTCTACTCCAGTCACACCATGTGACACTTTTTGTCACATCCTGGAACACTCCTGTTCAGGATACATCTTGGCTTAGCTGTCATTTTAAGAAATCTTTCTAACGAAGAATATGTTAAATATTTGTCTTCATTCATTTCCTGCAGCTATACCAATAACCCAAGACTGAGTAATTTTTAAAGAAAATGAAATTTTTGGTGATAGTTCTTGGGGCTGGGAAATCCAAAAACATGACTCTATTATCTGCTGAGGGCCATCCTGTGGTACCACACCAGGGCAGAAGGCAGAAAGGCAAGAGCATACAAGAGCATGAGAGCAAGAAGGAGCTAACAGCCCACTCTTGTGATGCTAACCCAGTCATGCAGTAACATTAAACTCTTCATGACCCAATCACTGCTTATTAGGCTCTGCCTTCTGATACTGTGGCATTGGGAATTATGTTTTCAACACACCAACTTTGAGGCACATATTCAAACCATAGTAATACTCCATTAGTGGAAGATCTTCTAAGATATCCTTTAAGTGTCACAGTGTCACAAGTGAAAATTACTACTATTTAATTTATTGGTCCCAAGTACATTACATGAGTTATTTTGTAATATTATCAGGTAAATATTATGCCCTTTTATAGATCATGAGATAGTAATTACCTGAAGTAGTAATTTACCCAAGATCATACTGATGGGGCAGAGTTGGAACATACATCATCTGTGCTGCTCTCCTTTTCCATTTTCTCAGCAGATATGATAGAACATGAAACTCCACAAATCCTACAAAGCAACTTTCCAACATATGCTGTTCTCTCATTCTCCCCAGGGAATTGGAGACAATGTCTACAGATTTTCTCCTGCTAGGGTGTGGCACGATCAGTTGTGTGATATAGGGAGGTGTCATGTTAATGAGTGAATGAAGGGGCACAGTGAGTCATTGTTCATAGGGTTGCTGAACCACAGTGATACTTCTCCTCTAACTGGTTGGATCCAGAGTGTTAGCCTGTGGTCACACAGACTTGGCCAAGCAGACCAGGGCCCAGAACCAACTTGGGAATCTCAATATGAGAACCAATTCATTTACTGAACCTTTTGTTTGTTATTTGTTTTTTGGTGGTCCTGGGATTTGAACTCAGGACCTCAATGCTTGCTAAGGAGGCACTCTACTACTTGAGTCTACCTCCAGCCCTACTTGAACTTTTCAAAATAACATTTAACACTTACAGAGTGCTTACTTTATTCTATGTGCCTTATTTGTATTAATTAATAGTTGTATAATAGAATAATGGGGAAGGCAGAGCAACAACTACAATAATCTAGGTTAACCATCTCCAAACCTCTTTAATTACACAGTCCTTTGAAATTTGCGAGCACATAGTCCTATATATAACCACTGTTTATTTACATGGATAACTGTACTAATATGCACATTATAAAAGCCAGAAATGTTCAAAGGAAGGGAAAAATATAAATAGAAGCTCTTCACTTACCCAAGATGATTTTATGTACACCCTGAAGTGTGCACACAGCCCAGGTAAAGAGGAGAGATGATATGAAACTGGTTTGGGGGTCAGAGAGAAGAGTGTGTACTAAGGAGAGAGTTCGGATCTAAGCAGGGACTGGATAGCCAGCTGCACATAGGGTTCAGTAGAGGGACACCACTGAAACAGTGAAATTAATGACTGAGTCACAGGAAGAACAAGTGTAGGGCAGGCTGAGAGTCTCCAGAGCAGTTTGAAGATGTTTAATTTACAATGCCCTTGGGACATCTTGTTGGAAATGCCTGGTAGGCACATGGAAATACAGATAGAAGGCTAATAATAATTATGATTAGTTCATTATTAGTTATATAAGTAATACTGATTACATATTGAATCACTTTTAATAAAAATACATGTAAGAACTTTATTTAGTGAGGTGTGGTATTATTCACTTGTGTTTCATTACTTCTTGATTTTAGGTATAGTTGACATCCTTTGCTACTTTCTTATGTTGATGTTTATTTATATAACAGCATGGCCTTTATTATTTGGCAAATTGATTGTGCACTGAGCACCTCTGGCCACCAGATGTATTATGAATCATATCTAAAATATATCATTTGGTCACTTTGTTAATTTATGTAGGACCACAACAATGGAAACCAGCTCTTAAAACAAAGGTCAATAATTGTTATTTTATGGAATATGAAATCATTTTTGCTACTCTTATAAAGTTACCATATAAAGGAAGTTGGAAGGGAGAGAAAAAGGAGGATGACAAAGAGGAGGAGGAGAGATATTTTTATAAAATATCTCTATAAAAGAATTTTAAAATTAAAGTAATAAGGAGTCAAGGCAATCTGAAAAGAGGTATCCATTTGGAAAGATGAAATGTTTAAGGCAGAATGTAGGAAAACAAAATGTAGGAAAAATAAGGCAGAAGGAAAGTTTAGACAACAAAATGGGTCAAGGAGTGAGATTAGCACAAAAGGTGTATGTGAACCCCTGCACACCAGTGAGAGGTAGACCATACATTTAGCTCTAAGCTCTGCTCCAGTCACCTCAAAGAGGTAACCATGGTTGGTTATAAGTTCCAAACATAAACACAAAACAAACTAGGTGCTCAGAAGTTAAACCACAGAAGGTGCTTCCATTAGGGCTCGACCAAGAGGTATGAGTCTGTGGGGGGAATGCTACTTTTGGGGATCCTTTTAAGAAGATGATATTTAAAATATCTCTCCCATATTTATTTGCAGAGGAACAGCATAAAGAAGGGGTGAAAAAGAATGGCTGGTGATAGGGTTCAGTGTCTCACCCACTATCCCTGGGCATTTGCTTCTGGCCCTAAAAGTCTATGCCCCACTCAACAAACAGAATTTCTCCAGTTAAGTCCAGTCAACCTACTCAGATGAAAGTTTATGAACATCTTGTTACTTGAACATATTCCTTGAAATTCTTACCACCATTCCTAAAAGGAGTGTTGACAACTAGACATTTCCCCATTTCAGTCCATGTTCAGTGATCCTTACGACAAAATTTTAGCTTGATATGAGAAGCATAGCCCAGAGGAGCTAGTCCTTAAGCAACCTCTAAATTAGAAAGAGAAATATATTCTGTGGGCTCTTACAAAGATATCAGAGTGTTGTGTGATACACAATGCTCTCATTAATATAGACAGAGCAATAACAGATAGCACTGTGTCTTTTCATATTCTCCAGAGGGCACAAATCTTTACAATAAAGTACAGATTAACAAAAACATATCTACCATGATAGCAGATGTGAAGGGGATACAGTGAGGTGAGCAATTTTTAAATTGGTAAAGGAGAAATGTTGCTGTTTCAAGAATTTCCAAAGGCAATAAAAAAAGAGAGGAAGAAAAGAAAACAAATGACTATTCAAGGACAGGAGCTCTGTCGCAATAATTCCTAAGTTGTTTAGGCAACTGGTGCAAATATAAAAATTTAATAAGCACATTGAATAAATGTCCTCCATATGGCTCAACATTCAAAAATAAAAACCATATACAGGAAACTGACATCATAAAACAAAGCATTCAGGTGTTCAGTTAGATGTTTTTAAAAATCCTAATGTAAACTCCAAATGTAAATTGATTTTGCACCTTTCCACTGGTTTATTATTGATTGGTATATAAAAATTACAAATGAAAAGTAATTTTTGCATTGCAGAATTTTGCCTGAGTACCAGATTGACCTTCCTAATCATCTTCAGCTGTTAAAGTTACCTGGCATCTCTTGGAATTCCAAACCATGTGTGGCAAGAAAGATTTACTGCAATGACAAATAATCCACAAGACAGTCATCAGAAATTGACTCAATGGAGGGTGAATATTCAGGTTCACGGTGGATGTGACAATGGACAGTCCAACAATGCATTGTCCTGAGGCTGGAGCTGGGACTTCAGCAATGAGAGAAGAACAAAACGAAAGCAGAGACCTAGCCAGCTATAATCCAGAAGGACTGGCTATGTACACTGAGGGGCTCAGAGCAAAATAAAAATAGGGGACCCCTTGCTCAAAAATAATTAAGAATTTCAAGAAGATGACAATAGAGCACTGTACCAGGTGTGGTGCTCTGGCCCTGCTCAGGAGCAAGTTCTTAGTCCATATACAGGACTCA